TTTGCTGCGCTCTGCACAAACAGGAGTGTTTGTGATTATCACTCTGCCCGACAAAATCATGAATGAAAATGCAGAGAAGGAAAGGAGACAACAGAGTTGAAAATAATCAGCTGGCCCATTTTTTTTTTTTCTGCTCTGTCTTCCTGTCAGGGGATACAGCATCGGCATCAGGTTGGTTGAAGATTTCTTGGCTCGCTCTGCTGCGAAGAAGTGCCGCAGTTATTCTGAAACTGCAGACATAATTGCACAGGTACCCAAGGATGCTGATTCACCTTCATTTGGCAAGGCTGAGCCCACTCTTAGCACTGCATTCCTGGTCTGGACCCCTAACAGCAGAGTATAACCCAGAAAGAAAGATTCACAAGGAGTTTCACTGGTTAATTTATTGTCAAGAAGGTAGGGGTTAATATGTAGAATCTTGGAAACTGAATAAGCCCAAACTTTAGTACCCATTTATTAGTGAATTCATTAAGGAAGGGTCTTTGAGAGCCCTTTGCTCCTCTTTTTCCTGAATGGGAGACCAAAGGGCTGACCACACTTTTCCCAAATAAGGCTGACATTAAAACATCCATCTGCTTATCATTAGTCATGTTTTCAGATACTCCTGTTTCTTTCCCAGCCCCAGAGATCTCTCTTATGCTCACTTTCTTACATGTGTTAGACTCCAATCCCTGTGGTTCCCAGCTAATAGAACTGTTGGTCAGAAATTTGGAAGTTATAATCCAATACATTTGAAGGAGACTTAATTGGGAAGGGCTATTTTAGCCTGGCAATTACACAATTTGCCTTCAGGCAATTTCCAATTCCAATTTCCAAATATGTCCCTAAAAATCACATTACTAGAGTTTTTACAATTATACGTATCTGCCTTGGGCTGATTTTGGAGTATTTGTGTTCTGACTTTTAAACTGTTCTGGCCAAAATATATCAGAAGCATTTAAAAAAAAAAATCTGAGACCCAGTGCAGAGAAGAGACAAAAGCCATTGGAAAAAAAAAGAAAATTTAGAACAGTCAGTACATCAAAAAGCAATTGAACCCCAGCGTAAGAAACTTACTTCTACTCACTTGATCTTTTTCCTCTTTCAGTTTGGGCTTGTTCTTCTCTTAGAGACAGAAACTGTGTTATTTTTTAATATAACCCTTTTCTAACTCCAAGGCCTGGACATCTGGCTGGGGGACAAATGATGACATGCCTACAGTGACATCATCACAGAAACGCTGTGACTCCTTGTATCAGACATCAGGACTTGTTATGGTCATATCGGCCACAACTTCCAAGAATTCCCTTCTTGAATTAGCTTTTTAGGGTTTGCTACTGAGCAGGTGGGCAGCTTGAAATATTGAAGTATCATTTTTCCCCAATTCCTTAATTTTTTAAAAAAATTATTTTTAATGTTACTTGTTTTTTTTTTAGTGAAATTGGGGCCTCACTATTCAACCTTTGAGTGTTCTCTTTTTAACATTTCTTCCTGAGTTAATGCTTCTATTGGATTCTTTCAACATTCATCTGAAGTCACAGAACCTAACCCTGAGATCTACTCTGTAATTATTCTTCTCTCAGTCTTCAACTGCTGTATAACTGAAAATTTATATAGAGTTGCAGCTAACTGGTTGGGGTGATGCAGGCATTTCCAAGAAACATATGGTGTAATGAGAGAGCCCTTCTAGATGTGACCAGTCCTCCACTCACCATGCCATTCCATGCATTTTTTATTTTATTTATTTTGGAAAGTCATTCCTTTGCAAAAGCCCCTGCTATTTTGTTCTGGCTTTTTGTGAAGATTACTATGGGCAAGGTGAATTTATGTGTGAGAGTTTAAGCATTTGTGGCCTTCAAAAAAAAAAGTAGGTGGAATATAAAAGCAAAACATACAATCATAGTCAGCAGTGTTTATGGGAGGGGTTCAAAAAAGTATGTGCATTGACATAGCAAGAGGTGAGGTTTTGATCCTGCTGCAACAAACACTTGCCTTTTTTGACTCCTCTTGCAGATATTGCTTAGTATAGCATTGGTTTGAGTGGCTTTGTCAGTGTGTATGTGTCTGTACTTTATGCATGTCCTTGGGACCTCTTGATTCTGAAATTCAGAATGCCTTTGATAAATGTAGTGAGTGCAAAGGCACCCTGAAAGCTCCACAATAAACAGAGCAAAAGAGCATGCACAGAGTACATAAACATAGCTAAGCTTTCCCCAAAGTTTTCTATGTTGATGTATTAGTTTTGTTATACACTGGATAATTTGGAGTCTGCGTTCTCTTGTGCTTTTTTGTTTATGGACACTTTGGAGAGCATTATAAAATGCAAAAGACTGCATTCTGGTTGGCCTGCTTAAGCTAGGTGTGTGTGTGTATACGTACTCTGTATGTGCACTTGTTGATGTAGTCTATAGTGTAGTTTGCTGCAAAGAAATGTTTTAATTCACTGTGTTTGTTAGAGTTCTTCCTCCTTTTAGCACAGACCTTTTAAGAACTCTTTATAAAAAGAGTTGTTTTGTTGAGCAAGGGAAGGAGTTCTAAGATCACGATGAGTAAACATCTTTCTTATCAGTTCTTCTAAGCTCTGTTCCTTCCAGCATTAAACAAGGTTTGGTTATTTATTTTAACTTATTTTGGGTTTTACTTATGACACAAGCCATGTTGGAGTTTAAACATTGTAATTTCCCCTGTTGTGGTGATATGAGTCCAATGGGTGTTGAAAATTTGACAGTGGCTAGAATAGTATAGTAGAAGAAGCCACTACATTCCAGCTCCAGTAAAACAAAAGAGAAAACTGAGAAGTAGCAAGTAGATCACCTCCTAGGATAGAATATCAAAGTGGCCATCACTGAGGCATTAATGAAAACAACATACTGCATTTGCTATTCTTAGAGGAGCCAAAATATCCTGAAGAACCTTGGCAGACACCAGTAAGTCTTCAAAGAGTATAAAAGCCTCATTTCAGACCTAGAAATTACTCAACAATTCAGACATAAAGCCTATCAACCCAAGTAGCTATTGCTCCAAGTACTCCAAGCACAACTCATTCCCTGAGCATTGTTTTAGATTGTCTACCTTCACCTCCCATGATTTAAAGTCAGTAGAATGGTTTCCTGATCCCTTTTATCAGAACAGGATCCTGCTGAGTTTTAAAGAGCAACTAAGTCCCTTAACACTGTACAGAATGAACTTGATCTGGTTAGCCTGCAAATATTTTTGCATTTAGAGACCTGTGGCCATGTCCATTGATCCAGGATGGTTTAATTCTATTCCATCAAATCCAATCCACGCAAACCTGTTCCTGAAGATAACTCAGGCATGTCACAGAGCTGGTGAGTAACAACAATCAGTCCCATTGCCCTCTGTGGGGCTATGTGAATCATGGGGAAGTAACATTAATAAAGGGGTTAAGTCATTTATCAGACTATAAGAGGGAGTAGAGTATTACACAACTGCAGCTGTACATATAATACTATGACTTCAACCAAGCAAATGGCGGGAATGCTGAAAGATTATACCAATATAACCAAAAAGGGTTTGTAACTCAAAGGCCAGATACAATCAATGACCTAACTAAAATGATGCATCTCAACTTTTTGGCTTCTTAGGGCTTAAACAGAAACTTCCTCACCAAGATCTGGATGATATTAAAAATCGAAGAATGTATCTAACCAGCCTAGAGACAACTTCAGCATGTATCCAATATTACAAAATTCACTCCCTCTTCAACCACAGGTTCAGAAGAGATTCCCACTGGAGAAGACAACCTCAACAATCCCCAATATGCTAACAGCAGAAGTTGACTTCATATTTAATACAGATCAGTTGAGATTAATGTCCCTGAATCTTTTAGAAAAAAAAGTATAACTTAGTAGTAACACTACACTAAAGGAACAAAAGAATCTGATATAAGATCTTTCTCCAGTAAGGACCTTCTCCAAATGTTAGATGAAGAATCTAATTTGACAGTTTGTTATAAAAATTTGCCCCAATTAGAGCAAAGGGAAATTATGGCAAGGCTGGATAATTAAAAGTCCCTCTTAACAATGGCTCCAAGTGTTGCACACTCATCCCCAAAAGCTGAAACTAAGGTCAGCAACAGTCAAACAACCATGAAGGAGAAATCATAATTGGAATTGATAAAGTCTCTACTGTACAGGATTATACAATCCATCAGAAGTCAAAGTAGCTGCAGCAGAGTCTAATGTATCCATCTCCCCCTCCATGATGATTGAAGATCACTTGGGATCAATTAGTCAAATGCTGAGAAAGGATACTTTGATTAAAGCTAGGAAAAATACAAATTTCTGATACATCACCTGCAGGTTTACTTAACATTACTTTAAACATTAAATCTACTCCCACTCCTGGGGATTTATCTGACAGTCCAAAAACATCATCTCCTCTAGATCTGACTGACCACAGCTGGGATAATTTACTATTGAGGTGCTATTTAATTTTTCTCAGATTGCATGGAACATTGCAGGTTGGATGCACAACAGCTCTTATTTATCTTTAATAATGCCTCCCCTAGTGAAAAGGAGGATAGGCTTGTGGGGAGGGGCTTAGGCATATGGTATATACTCGCAGTTAAGCCCTTCTGCGGATAAGCCAACCATCAAAGTTTTAACCAAAATACCATGAAAAATGCACCACCCGAGGATAACCCGACCCTCAAAATGTTTGTTTTAATTTTCACACTTGGTTTATCCTTTTCCAATACCTACATTTGGGTATAGTGATTTTAAGTTTAAGCACCACAGTGTATTGCTAATCAATGTATACCTCCCCTTTCAATGATTATTTTTCCAACCAAAATCTGTGGGATGAGACACAGCAAAATATTGTTAATTGTTTAAAGCTCTAGATCATAGGAGGTAGGGACTTAAAGAACAGGTTGGGGATAAATGACTCAGTATTACAGTATACGTCTCCCCAATATGGGGAGTGCATCTCTATGACTCTTAAGAGCAATATCGCTGTGTTTCTCCTGGCTCAGAAGTCCACCCATCTTGATTTATATTTTTAAAATGGAATTGTCAAGGGAGACAGCCAGGATCTAAATGGAATAATATGTTAACTTCACATAACCTAGTGAGCTAGATTGTGTGCTTTGGAATAAAGGCCTACACTGATTGTGATGTTTACCACTGGGGTGCAGTTTCCTTATTGGCTGTTTAAAGGATATTCGTCTGATTTGAGTTAAATTGCATTTAGAAGTAAGGAACACAGTTACAGAATGGCTTTTTGCAGATAAGTGTGGAAAGTTTTAGCAGTCCTGATCCTTTCATCACTGGTTTTTTAATGAGAATCTTATTTAAAATTGCAGAAATTGATCACGGAAAAACAGGTTAAGGCCAGGAATTCAAAAAAGTATAGCTCTGGAGACTTTTCTCTAGAACTGTTGGACTCCTTGTAGGTATAAAAAGAAAGTATAAACCCCTTCAGAAGGATTTTTGTAAATAGTGGCTTTGCGGAATACCTGTGGTCAGGTAATGGAATCCTCGGATATAAGAGATAGTGACAAATTCTAGCATGCTATTGGTTGGCATCTGAGCCCAAACACTCATCCTTCGGCATGTCATATTCTAGTGAAAACCTGTGTGATTCTCTTCCAGGCCCATCAGGGAAACATGAATTTGCTCTATCAGTTGTCTCTGCCAGATTGGCTATTCACTTCAACTGCAGAAATGGGGAAATTGATCAATCAAATGAAAGAGGGCAAGATCCCACGTAACCATCTTATTCCAGCAGCATTGCTTAAATCTAATATTGACTGGTATGGACCAATTCTGGCACAACTATTTATCTGTATTGACAAATCAGCCCAATTAACAAATGACTGGGGCCCAGCAATTGGTATCCCCATTTATACAAAAAGGATAATAATGACATTCAAATGAATTGTAAACCTATAAATCTCCTGAATACAATGAGTAAATTATATGTGAGACCTATATATTAGAAGCTATTAAACTGGATAGATCCAGACAAAATCCCAGAAGAGGAGCAGTGTAGAGTTTGGGTTGGGCATCCAACTGTAGAATAGGCCTTCATATTGCAACGTTTGGTTGAAAAATACACCATCAAGCTCAGAACAGTCCTTTAGGCAGCCTTTATTGATTTCAAATCTGCAGTTGACTCTCTTTTCAGAGTAAAACTGTGGAATGAACTCAGGAACTCCACAATTGACAAGAACTTGTTAATGCTGATGTATAAGTTACATGAAAGAGCAATTTGAAGGAAAACTCCTTTGCTCTGTTCTAACCCGAAAAGGAGCCAAGAAGAGCTGTATCCTAGTCCACTTTTAAACAGTTATGTTAATTTACATCTAAGGATTTGGATATATGTGCTATTTGGAGAGTAAACTGTCCTTTTAACTTTATCAGATGATGTGCTGATACTATCACAATCTTCAATTGGTCTAAGAAGGTCCCTAAAGTATTGCCCTGATGGTCAACTTGTAATTGATTATCTTATAACCAAGATTATACTCTTCACTAAAGGATTAAAGGCATGCAAGAGGACAATTGGTGGTTAAGTGATTTGAGTATCTACATAAGGTTTTTCATACTTCAGGGGGGAAAAAAGGCTGATTGACAAGTAAACATGACAGCCCAGAGAACCAGAACTGCTGTCCTGAGATTCTTCTATGGGAGAGGAAGCAAGATTGATTCAATGGCCTTAAAGCTGTTCATGGCCAAAATGCTGACCATGTCTCAGTGGAGTTCAATTAGGCCCTGACCAATTTTACCTTCTACATTAGCTCTTTAGAATAAGTACAATCCAAATTTTTGTTACAAAGTATTAAGATAGGTATCTAATTCTATACTTTGGCTGGAAAGAGAACCAAGGATTGAAGAAAGAATGGGGCTTTCCATGCTCAAGTTTTGGCTAAAATTGAAATTTTGCTTATCAGGTTTAGATTCATCCATGTTGCTGACCATTTCCAATCAATTTGGAAAATGATAGTTCATATAATAATCTTCATATAGAACTTAATACATCACTACTGCTACACTTTCTTGGGCGCTCAATCTTAATTTAGATTAAAAATATATTATGTCAAAACATTTTTAAAAGAAACTCCCTTTGTGTTAGAGAACTGACAAGAATTCATTTTCTTTCACAATGTTCTCCTGTCCTAGAAGAGATAATTGTTTTGGAAAGGATGGGTGTGAGATTAAGGTCTCTCTGAGTTTTTTTAAACGACAGCCAACCTAATAGTATCTCATCACATTTTTTTTCAATTAGCATAACCCAGGTCAAAGGAAGAATTCTCTGAACCTAAGGAAGCAGGATAGAAGGATCATGAAACTAATGCCTGTATAATAGGAGTTGTCAAAGATAGTATCCTTTTTTCTCTCTTTCAGTTTTTCTGCAAACTGGTTCAGTAGTAGCACTCAGCGTGAACTGCTACCCTATCTGTTCTTGTGATCCTAGAAAGGAAAGGAGCAGGAGGCCTTTCCTCTGTTTCCAGTGTTCCTTACAGCCCAGACACTTGAAGTGTTCCAATCTTTGTTTCAATGGAATATGGGATGCTTAAACTGGTTCAGGTTTTCTCTTGTCAAAAGTGCAACAAACTCAGATTATTTCCATGGAACATTCCAGATGGGATGTTTGGGTTTGAGCTCTAAAACAAAACACATTTTCTGTTTTGTGCACAACTCCAGAAAGAAGCATGACTCTAAACAGGCATAGCTAATAAGTGTGGCTGGATTTCTTTCTTATGTAATAACCGGGAGGGTTGTTTTCATTCAGATTGTGAATTAGTTTTCTTCCAGCTGAAATCCTGATGAAGATCACATACACACACTGCACTGGGGTGAGCTTCAGAAGGGAAAAGCCCCTGCTGGCATTACTGTGGATTCTCCCTCCCCCCCTAAAATTATTTGCAACATGAAGAAATAAGTCTTGTGAACTTCATGCTGAGGAGGGCAGAAATATTAAGCCTCTCAGCATGATGTGGTTCTCTTAATGAAAATCATGGCAATGCCTATAATAAATAAAGGAAATGTCCAAAATGTATTTATTTGGTATAACATATCATTTGTCCAGGTGATGACATGGCACGCATTTTCTGTTCCATTGTCAGGTTGCTTTTAAGATGTATCTGGGTGTCACCCCTACTGTGACTTGCAGCAATGCAATGGGAAATGAGTTTTCTCTCATTCTGGGCAAGAATCCCTTAGTGGACTTTGTGGAGGAGCTACCAGCAAGTCGATCATCCCTTTGCTATTGCAGTCTGTTGTCTGGGACCATCAGAGGTGCTCTGGAAATGGTAAGAAAATGAAGGCTGACTCTTCTTTCTCTGCCCTTTTCTGCCCTCACGCATCCATACATACAGAGAACAGCCTCATACTTGTTTGTTCCTAACCATGATGCTGCCCCAATGACAATATATATGCATGACATCATGACACAACCTCCAACATTTAATACTTGCATTGCAATAGCTGTATAAGAGGAGTGTGTATTGTGACATTGCAGTGTCTACATTGTCCCTGCCCCCCCCCCCCCGTTTCCTCCTGTGGACACTTATGATCAGCCTGATAAATTGTTAGAATTTTATTTCTTGCTATGTTCATTTCTGAGCCAGGATCAAAGAGACAACAGGCAGTTGCATGAAATTAAGTTCTTTCTGCTTCACTCAAAAGCAAAAGCGATGACAGCAAGCTATTAGGCGGGCGGCCATGCAGGACTCTCCCCCTATAGCACATTATATACATTCCATTCAGCCCCTCCTATAAAATACTAGAATACCACCCCTTACTCAGTCACCCATTTCCCACCTCAGTATCATTCCATATTAGGAACTTCCTTCCTTCCTTCCTAGGGCCCCTTGACCATTGGCGAAACATCTTTTTCTGGGAAGAAGCTATCCTTGGAATGTACACCTTATCTTGTTTCTATGGGTACAAATTCTTATCTGTGTGTGTGTAAATACTAAATATGAAATATATTTTTATGTATTTATATAAAATCTTCTATCAATATGATCATACTGACCCATACTTTTGGATCATTATGTTGTGTGGACTCACCTATTATGGTTTATTGTTTAGTATGCAGTACAAACCCAGCAACATAGTTGTAGGCTGGTACACAATTTTGTGTGTTTGTGCCTTCAAGCCAGTGTTGACTCCTGGTGACTGCCTGTTTTCTTGGCAAGATTTCAGAAGTGGTTTGCCATTGCCTGCTTCCTAGAGCTGAGAGAGAGTGACTGGCCCAAGGTCACCCAGCTGGGTTTGTTCCTAAGGCTCACAGTCTCCCAGTTTCTAGCCTGGGGCCTTAACCACTATGGTACACAAATGCCTCTAGCCATAGGTGTTACCCATCATTTATTAGATAAACCAAAACTGCCAGGGTTCACAGAAAATGTTAAACTAAAAGCAAATAAACTAGATTAAGGCTTAGTGTGATGTGCAGATCCAATCAGATTCTTCTACAGATGCTATTAGCCTTTTGTAAAGAAATAGGGTGATTTTTACATTGAGGAAACAGACTAGATAAGGCTAATTGTCCTTCTAGGCTTATATCTTGCTTTTCAAAGACATTCTATGCAAATGTTTTCTGTGTGGGCATTTGTGTCTGGTATTTTACCTTTTGTGAGCCAGTTTGGTGTAGTGGTTAAGGTGCCAGGCTAGAAACCGGGAGATCGAATCCCGCCTTAGGGACGAAGCCAGCTGGATGACCTTTGGCCAGTCACTCTCTTTCAGCCCTAGGAAGAAGGCAATGGCAAGCCACTTCCAAAAAAAACCTTGCCTGGAAAACTGCAGGGACTTATCCAGGCAGTGGCCAGGATTCAATACTGACTCAAAGGCATAAAAAAAAAAAAACTTTTTGGTCTTTTCCCAACCACTGTATCTCATGGTGTCATTGACATGTACACTTAAAAGCACTTAGACTTCTATACATGAGCCAAATTGACCATGTCTGCAACTGGATCTCATATAGAGGGTATAGAAATGGTGCTCTAAAAATTTGAAAGGTGAAGGTGAAGCCAGTAACTACAATATTTTATGGATATTTAGCAGTATACATATATAACATCTTGACCTGCACCCATATTTTCAGCACCAGCTAAAAGCCTTATTATTTTTCCAAGCCTTATTTGGTGGAATCCCAGGATATACAGTATATTTAACAAATAAATTACTCCATTATTGTATGGCTTTACTGTTATTGTTAACTTTTTCTCCCTGTTATATCTATTTGACTTTTTATTTTCAGATACACCTAACAGCTGAAGTGACTTTCCTTCAAGACACTCTGAAAGGGGATGATGTGACAGAAATTCGAATCACATTCTTGAAGAAGCCTGAAACCAAGAAACACAAAAGAAATAAGTGAAGCTGTTATCTGAAGTAATTATATATATAGGGTCAGCCAAGCCTTTGTAGTTGCCTAGAAAGAGAAACTTTCCAATCCAGGAAGGACCATCCACACAGAACAAGGCTCAAAGCAAACTTTTTTCTAGGCCAGGCCATGCATGTCCAGAAGCTTGGAGGAGCAAGAAATTAGCATGCATTCCCCGCCCTCCTCCAGGGAATGTGTAGTATTCCAAATGGATTACCAGAAACTGGGTGATGAATATCTAAGGAATCTCTGCTCCCTCAAAAATATCCTTGCATGCTGTTTCATATTGGAGCTGTGCTCTATCTGCTTCTCTGAGGTAAAGTACAATGCAAGGCTGTGAGGGGCAAGGCTTTCTTAGGAGTGGCATTTTTCCTGAGGATTTCTTTTCCTGAGGGATCTTTCTTAGTTTGTAGAAGGCTAGACAAGGAAGTTCTATGAGATGCAGCAGGTAGGACTAAATACAACCTCCAAACCTCCTTTCTGTGGCCATTACAGGTCCCTTCAATCATACCTGCCCCAAATCAATGTCATGAGGTAGGCAATATAAAAGAAGATAATGCAGCCCTAAAATAAGTTCAAGATGCTTTAAAAGCAAAACAAAACAAAGCCCCCTAATACTTTCCCTCCCCAGAATCTTGACTGCATCCATGACACCATCCTGAAGACTTTGACTTCTTATTCTGAGTTTTGCATTTCTTGGGCCACCATCAAAATGTTGCCCACATCTTTTGTCAGGCTTCTGAGGGAACTGGCTTCTTCTTGGACTATCTCTGCTGAGAAAAGGACTTGCCCATTGTTATTTTTATTTTATCCTTTGGATTTTAAGATGTGTATAACTTTTCTTTAAAGAGGTGGAAAGGTTGAATGAGACACAATTCAGAAATATGTTATCTGAACCAAACTGTACATGGACTTAAGAAATGATATGAGGATGTAAAATATATTTTTCTGTTTGGGGGTCATTATTCTGTCAAAAGCTAAATTATGTATTAAATAATTGCCTTTTTAGTGTACCCTTCATTTATGATAGAGTTTTACTAATGTCTTCCTCTGACATAACTTTCAGTGGGCAAAAGGAGAATCAAGACTTATCTGTTAATGACTGTAGCTTTCACTATGCAACCTTAGCAGAAGCATGGCTTCTGGGAAATATTTCTTCCAAAGACTTCCTGAGTGTAGATTAATAAGTTCTAGGTTCTTTGAAAATTGTATTTCCTAGGGATTATACTAAAAAAACCCATGGAAAATTCCAATTTCCAGGGATCCTGATTTGCAGTATATGGTTGCTGTATAAGGAAAGAAGGAATGGAGGAAGGAGTAATGTATGCAATTGCCTATTTTATTCATTTATTTAACAATATTTATAAGCTTCTCAACCCATATGGACTCTGGGTAGTGTACAGCAGTTAAAGTACAACAAAATAAACAAAACAATTAAAAGAATGATGACACTGAATTAAATGTTATGGTCACCCAAATAGAACTACAGGCCAAAAGCTTGCTGGAATAGTACTAATATAGCTTGCTTCTTAATTAAAAGTCAGAGCTACCCATATTTCCAGGGGTAAGATTTTCCACAAAATGGGGGCTATCCCTGAAAAGTTCTGTTGCTGGTCCACTTCCTATGAATCTCATGAGGAGGGTGGATCTTTTTTCTAGATACTGCTTTTAGCTTGAAACCTAAAATTTGCTAAAGAAAAATTCAGTTCCTGCACCTATGATTTCTATATAGGTAGTCCTTGCTTAATGACCATACCTATCACCCGTGCCTGAAGATATGGCCATCGCAGCACCCTCACTGTCATGATCAAAATTCGGGGGCTTGGTAGCCCGCCCGCTCTTACCACTGCAGGGGCATTGCAATTCCCCCCACCCACCTATCTCCCCCTCCATCTATCCCCTTTTGGCTGCCCTGCACAGTGGCACTCGCCAGCAGCAGCACTGGGGCTGGGGCTGAAGGAGAGGCCCCCCCACCGCCCCGAGGCATCTCTCCTTACCGGGGACTCCATCTGCTTAACGACCCACGATTCTCACTAAACAGCAGTCTCAGGCAGCTGCCACCACCCCCAGGTGGAGACTTCAGCTCCAGCCCCACCACTGCCACTGAAGAATGCCACCTCATGCTCCACACTGCTGGCCTTCACTGCCTCGTGCCATTTCCCAAGCCATGCCTCTCCTTCATTCCCTGAAGCTGGCGTCCTGTCACCCCATTCCTTCCCGAAGCATCCCATAACTTCTGCAAGCTGGCATCCCATTCTTGCAATCCTTCAGAAACCTTCTGGTCTTCCCCAGGTCTCGCAAGAATGGGACACTGGCTTCAGGGAAGGAAGGAGATGTGTGGCTGCAGTCATAAGTGCTGGTGGGGTGGCTGAGGCTTCCAGGGGCAGCTGTGGCTTTGCACTGCACCACAGCACCCCCCTCAACTCACGTATAGCCTATGCCGGGCCTCCTAAGGCCCCCCCACCCCCCCGAGGCATCT